AAAAAATAGTTTTCAATGCTATTGAGTGCATGAGTGAATTCAAAATAAGTCTATTGAAGTTACGTAATCAGTTGAAAAGTTTAATAGGTCAATTTTGACTATTTCACTTATTGCATAACCGCAGTACACTTCTTTCTTATTCGGCTTGCCTTATACACCACTGACTAACATTGACAACTATTTTCAGACAAGTCATGACTACCAACGTCTTTCTAATCTTCACCACCACCCTCCACCCTAGTTTATTACAATTTGAGTATTCATCACATTTCTCAAAATATTTTCATGACCTTAGCAACAAGCCTAATTAGTTTTTTATTCTTTTTTTGACGAGTCTAGTGTACACAAACACCGCTGAGTGAATGAATTCGCCTAAATGAAACTAATCACTGTTTTCATGTCCTAAATAGAATCAGAACCTACCTATTTTTGATGTTTAGATTTCAACTATGCAGTTACATAATGGAGTTACACTCTACCACAGTGCGCAAGTTTTATACTTATATCAGTAGATTTCAACCAGTACGATAAACTCCACAAAACTACCAAACACTTAATTCTAGTATAAAAATGTATTAGAAATTAAAATGACTGTGTATTATTTTTCTCCATAGGTGCATGAATTCAAATCATGTTGACAGTGACCAACATGATGATCCAGATGTGTGAGCTGACCTAGATTATTCGCTATAGGATGTTTCGGTGTTTTTGAAATACTGTCGATATCTTCACATCTGTTTCTTTTCAAGAAGTATTGTTAAGTTGTATTAAGCATAGCATGGCAACATTAAGTAGGATATCCAATAAAATTAAGGAAATTTTGACCAGATATCAGGATCGTTGGAAACAGCGAACATAAAACCGAAGATATACTGGATGCCACAAGTTTCACCAGATAAACACACCAAAAACGCTGATTGCTTGAAAGTCGAGACAGCCTGTTGAACAACATCCTCAGTAGACGCCCAGATCACTATATAACACAAGAAAGATTCAAGATGGAGTTGACAATTTTCAGGGAAACCGGACAAGTCGGATTGCAATTCTAGTTCTACACTCACAGACTATAGGACGAAGCTACGACGGATACGTTTACTGAAGTCATCAAGGAAAATTTCAGAGATGAAGTCACTGAAGACGAACACTGAGTTTCTCTGAGATCCATGTGGAAAGAAGCCCGTATAGCCTGAGTAAAAGCTCGGACTCACTAAGCTGAGGAAAGGAAAGAAGAGCCATAGGAATGACAAAAGACGCACCGCCAAATGAAGTAGAACAGACTACAGTTGAAAGATACCTGAAAAGATGTTATCAAATAATCAGGTCGCTATCCGGGAAGATATCAAGACAGATGAAACCTGTGAAAGATAAAGAAGGTATCTTAATTTCTGAGGAGGTGTATTGGACGAGACGGTCTGCTGGTTACTTGGAGAGGCTGTTGAATCGACCACTAAATGCAATTTGTCCAAAAACAGCACTAGCGATCACAGAACTGCCATTAAACAACTACCTTTGGACAAAATCAGCAGTCTTGAATGCCATGAAGTCACTACTGGCCGGAAAGATAGTCGGAGCACATAGAATCTCCCTGGATGCACGAAAAACAGACTTGGAGACTTTGGCGAACGTAATCACACCCCTATTGGAGAAGTCGTGGAAGGGATAGTAATGCATCCATAAAGATGAATATACTACAACTACTAGGATGTTAAAGTCTATATTTCCACATGTACAAGAGTTCGGTAACTACTAACTATGTTGATTTGATGGGTGTGAGGCTAGTTATGATAAAGTATAAGTTCTATCAAATGTTTGCCTTTTAGAAAAGCAGGCTAAGCGAAACTTTTTGTATAAAACTTAACATCATATACTCAGATGTCGAATTTTTTTCAAACCTTGAGATGTGAATTTCGTCTTAGGATATGAATGTACATGGGTTTGTATGAATGTATGCATGTATGTGCGTGTCACGTGCATGAAATCAATTCAGCCAACGAGATTTGTCTATTTAATTTCTTATTTGGTATCTACTTTTACATGATTGGTGCTTACTATTGTAATTCTATTGGTTTTTCTTACCCGATTACGTCATAATATCAAATCATGTATAAATTAGTCATCTCACCAGTAAACCTTTTAGTTTTCGTCACTTGTATTGTTTGAACATTCAAACGTCGTATGACAAATACTGAAATCTGCATGCAAATGGATTCGGTCGAAGGTGACAAGGAAAGGAAGTCAGGAAAGGAGTCGCTGGAACCAAAAAAATATATGACGCGATCACAAACCAAGAGGCTGGCCCGTCGCCTTACCGTATGTAGTTGGTGGAAGAACTTCAACACTATCGACAATGATTCTAATGATCATCAATCGAAGGTGGCTATTGAAAACAAAAACAAAGCACAGTCGGGCGAGAAAGCTGTTATTAAGCGTCGTTTGACTCTCGCTCCAAATGAGATACTTGACATGAAAAAGAAAAAACTCATTGGTTGAAGTGGTCTATTCCACGTCAGATTAATTTATTTTTTTAATTATTAATAAAAGTGTTGTTCTTTTAAGTCTTTTTCCTCTTGTGAAGAGTTAGTAGTAAAAGGTGGATGTTACCGAATGGGTTAGAGTAGAATTACCGTGAATGGCGTAGTCTGTAAAATTGTTGTGTGACTGTATAGACTGAAGTAAAACGTAATGTTTGTCGACAGCTATATTAGTTTGTAGAACTTTATTCAGACTTCTTATTTATCAAGGCAGTAGTTCTGAATAGACGTAGCTGAAGTGGAATATTGGCATACTGAGAAGGCGATGTAAATTGTTGGTCTTTGTTGTTGTTGCTGTCAAGTTAATTAGGGAAGTGTTTAGATTGAATTGATTGAATACTGTGAGTTGGTTGTTGTCGGTTGGTGAGCATGACGTATGTTTTGTGGGAGGTGAGCTTGTAAAGAGTAAAGCATTATTCGTAACGATGCCACTGACGTAATTAAACTTTAACTTCGTATATTTTGAGAGTGAATGTTGAGGTTGGCGGATTTTTCCCCCAGATTGTTTCGTAGACCTGGTTGTTGAGTGTGTGTGTGTGTGTTTGTGGTGTGGTGTGGTGTGTGAGAGCGGTGAATGGTTATAGGTCACTAAGTGAATAATGCAAGTCGTCAGTGAGTGAAGTTGTTTGTGAATCGTGTGAATCCACTGCGGTGACCGGGACATGAGTTTGAAGTTATCAGTGTAGATACTACTGTGATATGATTGTGAACAATCAACTGTGTTCGAGACGTCATGTAGTAAGTAATGCTGATTCACTGTGATATATCTAATAGATGATTTAATGTAGATACTGCTGTCGTTTTATGGTTGATGTTGTGGTTAAAATTTGGACATAATAGTAGTATGTGATTGCATATTGATTCTCTATTGGATTTGTATGATTAACATTTTGTGGTCCGTTTGTCTTCTCTGTTTCGGAGCTTTTTATTTTGTATGGAATTATTACGAGTGTCTTGGGTTCTTTGTTTTCTCATTGACTTGACTTATTGGTCATCACATTTTGGGTTCTCGTTTAATGCTGGTTCATTCTGGTCTGGGTCTGCCACCGTACCAGACGCAGTTTTATTTTCGAATGTAGCCACTTGTAGTGCTGTGCGGTTGAGCTTTTTTCATTTCGTATGGTTTCAAGGTGTAGTAGTCTAGACTAAGCCAGGTGTTTGCTCTGGCTAATGTAATTCGTCCTGGTCTATTACTCTGACCGATGTATTTGACATCTCAATCACTGCATGTTATTAGATAGACTGAATTACTTTGTTCAACGGACTCCACTAGTTTCTTTAACCGGCGTTATTTATTTCCCAGTAAGTTTGTGGGTTTCAATGCCACTGTTATTCCAGAGGTTCCCAGATTGTATGACTGCACTACTACTGTTTCTTTTAGTTACATTATTTCTGTGCATGTTTTCCTCATAAGTTTTGTTATTCTTATTTAGTCCTAATAATCTCCATCTTTGCGTTCTGTTTCCTGTCTCCTTACGTAGCATAATATGTTTCATAGTGTTAAGTGTTGGGAACTGTATCGATTGAGGTGGGTGAGACACGTTTTACGCATGCATTCCGAGTTGTTGGCTCCCTTATGACGCAACGTTAGCTAACAGGATACGGTTGACAAAGTGTGGGGAGGTATCAATCCATACAGTAATTGACTGTTTGTTTGAGCCGTATATGGGGATTTTGAGTAGTGTATTTGGTTCCTGGGGATTATAATAAGCACTAGGTGGAGACTATTGACGATGGAGTGATTTTATGCAGAATAGCCAGATCATATATATGTTATAATGCTTGGTTTTACAACCTTTAAATGAAATCTCTGTTTTTAGATGTATACGTAGTTATCATTAGTAGAGAGTATCTGCGAGTACGGTGTCGCAGTGGGAAACATGAATCATCATTTTCACGGTCAATTGTAAACCCGTGAATGATAAACACTGTAGTAAATATTTTTAGTGCCATAGCCTAAGGTAAAACATACTCACCGCTTCTTTCACTTTTCGTATAATAGGGATACACTGACTCTTAATCATTCTTCAGACAAGTATTCAATAATTTATCTTATTTTATAACAACAGTCATTTGAACCGGTTCTAAGGGTTTCGTTGTACTTGGTCTCTATAGTACAGTTTTTTGGTAACACCAGTTCACGCGTCACGCATAAATGTTGATAAAATAAGGCTGTGTTGCTTTGACACTTATTATATTTTGACTTTTAGGATAGGTGTGTAATCAGTGATTAATGTTGATGCAGTCGTGTCCTCGGGATTGTAGGAACCATTGAGCGTTGGTGATATGGTCCATATATATATCACTGGTGCAGATTCATTCATCCTTAATGTTCTTCCGGATATATTGAATCTGTATTATTCTCCATGTGATTATTCTTTCACCAGTTTCATTTTATTTCTTTTTTTTTTTTTGATGTTCTATGCATGCTTTTATGAAGTGTGACAGCTTGAACTGAAACACGTTTGTGAGCAAAGTTTTATGTTGGAAATCCAGTTCAGTTCTTTTCAAAAAATCCATATATAGTTCCTCCAGTTTTGTTAACTCGCGTATAAGCTTTTAATATTCTCTGGTTTATTCGCTGATTCTTGACTCATTTAAGCAGTTTTTGGTAAAAGATGTGTATTCGACCATAGAAACGAATGTCATGCATCTGTTGATCTACTGGAAGTTTGGTAGGCATCCGTCGGAAAAATGTCCCACCTCACCTAGGTTCTGTTGTTCATGCTGTTTTTATCTGTAAGTTAGTTTTGAAATTGTGTAAAATACGTTTGTTTTGGTCAGCCAACTTTGCTATCTCATCAGTTGTTTTTGTATTTCAGTTAGCTGAAACGTGTCAAGTCGGTCTGTGCCGCATTGAATGGATCAAAAGTAGAAAAGAAAAACAACAAAATGAATCCAACCCTCCCACCGATGACTTGGCATTACAGTTCTTTCCGGATACAGTTGATCCTGCGCATAGTTTCAGTTGTGATCACAGCTATACTGATGAACAGTTGCGTGATTTATTGATGGATCCAACTCAGACATTGTTCACGCGTTACCGTGCTATGTTCACTCTACGAGACCGTGTTTTAAAGGCGATTTTAGACAAAACATCACCCGAAAAAGCAGCTAACTTTCTAGCCGAAGGTTTGAAAGCACCAAACAGTGCACTGTTACGTCACGAAGTTGCTTTCGTGCTTGGACAGTTAACAGTTGCCAGCACTGTTCCTCCACTTTCTGCCTGTGTTCGTGCAACTGATGAACATCCTATGGTTAGACACGAGGCTGCTGAAGCTCTTGGTTCAATTCTCGGTGAATTGGAAGGGAAATATTTGTCAAGTAATGTAAAAAGTGATGTACCTAAAGAATTTGAAAGTCAGGCACGTAATGTATTAGAGGAATTCACTAAAGATAAGGAGCCTGTCGTTCGTGAAAGTTGCATTCTCGCTTTGGACGTCGCTGATTACATTTCATCACCTGAGCAATTTCAGTATGCTGCTGTACCACAAAATTAGCATAGTGGTTATTCGAAATCCTCCAATCTCTCTTCATCTTTCTTTGTTATTGCTGGTACCATTCTTTTAAAAATTTATTCGACAACTCAGGTTGTTACATTTTAAATTCAGGAATTTGTTGACTTATAGTGGTAATGCGTTGTTATACTGCTTCTTAATACATAAATAAATAAATAAGTGTATTCTGTCAACCGGTATGATTTTTCTTTCACTTTTCGCGATAGTTTGATTTCCAATGTTGTGTCAGTGATAATACTATAGTGTATGTTGGCGTTAATCAGTTAAAGTCTATTGCGAATTGTAAAGTGTGAATGGAAATACGAAATATAGTAGAATAAGCGTACGCTTATCTTAGTACTTAGTACGGACAACTGATCAATGTTACATTGTATCGTTAGCTTTACAATCACTTGTGGTATTGTCATCGTAGATTAGTACCTGTGGGACATGTCCATTTAGGATATTTACAACAGCATAGAATCAAATCAGTATCATTTTTACTTCATTTGTAACACCAAGGTCTTAGCTTAACTTCTGTCACTATCCAAATTCGTACCTGTTGAACATTACTGACGGATAAAACGAATGAGTAGAACGTTTCAAACTATGAATATTTTAGAGACATAAATAAATAAAAAACAGTCGAAAGACAAGTTGTGTTAGCAGAAAAACAGGAGTATTGTATTTTATTTTCGTAAGTGGTGAATAGGCACTAATTACTTAAATTAACTTGCAGTCAGACGTTTAACATCACTCCACTGCATAAGAGTCAATTTTAATTTAATTCTGCCTAGTTTGTGCTTCATTCAATCTGAGCATAGATAAAAAGCTAATTGACAGTTCACCTGTTTGAAATACAGGCACACTCCAGTATGAGAGAATTTCACTTCATCATCCAGACAAAAGATGCAATCAAACTGACTTGTATTTAGTTATGTTTGAGAGGTCGACAAACGCTAGAGAAATTCGGATTTACATAACATAAAATGGTGTATCGTTAACAAATGGAAAGAAATTAATGACTGTTTGCAGATTTTAGATGTACTCATAACTCACCGATATGTTGGGTTAACAAGACAACTTGTCTTCAGGAAGTTCATGTGAAACGCGATAGTATATAAATTGCCGTAGTTTATATCCACTCCAGCATACAAAAGCGTTAGTTTATTCAAACTTATTCAACACATGCGTATTGAGGATATCATGAGAGAGGAAATGCAAAACCACACTGACATACTATTAAATAAAAACTTTCTTCTGAAATTGTAATCACTTCTGTGGATGTTTCAAGATAAAGGCTATAACAGTTTAATCAGACTGACATGAGGACGTTTATGTAATTTTACTGCTTGAGGGTGATTCCACAAATTTGATCCCTAAACCAGTACGATAAACTCCACAAAACTACCAAACACTTTATTCTAGTATAAAAATATATTAGAAATTAAAATGACTGTGTATTACTTTTCTCCATAGGTGCATTAATTCAAATCATGTTGACAGTGACCAACATGATAATCCAGATTTGGGAATTGACCCTTTGCTTAGGACTTAAACTTTTGTCAACTAAATTATATATATGAAGCGTAGTTGCAATATCTGAGATATCCAAGTCAACAACTGGGTCTCAGAACTCCCGTAGATGAACTCTACATACTACTAATACTGACTAACGGAAATGAAATTAGTACACAAATAACACAGATAAATGTCCATTTTGTTTTCTAGTGCAATTTACATTAATGAACTATGTATATATATAGTGGTTTGATTCCACACAGTATTTTGGTACAACTATGGAATTTTCAGCGTATGATATCGGTAGCCCAAATTTAGCAGGCTGACTATTGATATCAGGTGTTCGGCGGCGGGGAATCGAATCCCGGATCATGTGCATGGTCCGAGAGAGTCCTAACCGCTGTCACACCGACAGACATATATATATATATAGAGAAAGGAGAGAGAGAGACTGAAATTTAGCGAGGTATTGCCAAAAATCCTAATTCTATCTACAACGATACACTTTTATCATGCAAATCGCCTATCAGCATGTGGAAACCTTTTAATGAAATTACTGGCAATAGTAAGCGATGTACTGCTTTTCCCTCTTATGATGTTAATGCTCTTAATCGGTCTTTTATACGCTGTCCTTCTTCTATAACTACTTCTAATTTTACCAATCATGTATCTGATGACTTTCATGACTTTAATGCTCTCGATGTTCTAAAATGTCTTAAAACGCTCAAGCCCTCACGTGGCCTTGGCCCTGATGGTATACCTGCATATGTTCTAAAACAATGTGCAGATGCTTTATCTTCTCCACTAACTGACATCCTAAATGCTTCTTCCTCCAAAAATGTCGCACCTGTTTCATGGAAAGACATTAAAATAGTCCCTGTCCCTAAACCTGGAGACGGCAAGAACGTAAAGTTCAGACCCATCGCCATCACTTCCCCGTTTCTAAAGCTTATGGAAAAACTAGTACTTCTTAAACTTGAACCCTCCCTTAAAAGCTTTGAAGACCCCAAACAATTTGCCTATAGACAGGGTAGGACGCTGCAGCTGTCTTACACAACAGTATCGCCTCATCATTAGATAAAGGTGCCAAATACGTCCGCTGCACGTTTCTCGACTTCACTTCTGCTTTCGACTCTGTACCTAGATGTCTTTTGCTAAAAATAAGCTCTCTATGACAAAAACTGAGTCCTGGGTCACTAACTGGTTGCATTCCTACTTCTCTAACAGAATGCAGTACACCGTATACAAAGGTAAGTCCTCCTCTGCTGCGCTCACTGAAGCTGGTGTCCCCCAAGGTGCTGTGCTCTCCCCACTTCTCTTTTCTTTCTTTCTACATGACTTACCATCTTCAAATTACATTAATTTTGTCAAATATGCTGACGATCTGACTGTATCTTTGCCTGTCAAATGTCAAAGTGACTGCTCCAAACTAAATGGCTTTCTGTTAGAAATCAGCCAGTGGTCCGAGGAAAACGGTCTTACCTTAAACCCCTCCAAATGTCAAACAGTCAACTTCACCTTTAGGCATAAATCCGACCTAAACAAACTGGTTGGCTCTCACGAGATGTGCAACATTGATGGCACTGAAATAGAAACCAAGTCGGAAATGAAATACCTAGGCGTCATTCTCTCTGCTGATCTCTCCTGGTCGTCTCATATCTTGGCGATTTCTAAGAAAATATTCCGTCCTACTCCTACAATTCGTTAACTCTCTCATTCTGCCTATTATTCTCTATTGTTCCCCCTTAGTTTTTCCCGGGCTACTGAAGAAGGACTACAACATATTACGCAGGATGTTCAAGGTTGTCAGCAGAGTAAGCAGCGTGCCACTTAACCAGCTTGTTAATATTCTGTTTGACAGGCACATGCACTCATGTGAAAAATGGGCCAAATCCATTTTTTCTAACTCACACCACACTCTTCACTCACAACTCTCCCATTGCATCTCATCAGGCAAAACCAGAAGCCTATATAGAAAGCTATATGCTCGCACCAGCAAGTACAAAAACTCAACCATACCCTACTTAGCTCGTGTTCTGTGCGATAAAGAAATCATTAGGCGTGACACCTATAATTCATTAAATAGTCAGTAGAACAACTGGAACTCGTCTTTCCAACTCATATCATTTATACGTACAACATTTTCTTTCTTTCTTTTCCTTTTCTCTCTCTCTCACTCTTTCTCTTTTTTTCCGTTATGTGCTGCTTTGTTTCTTTCTTCCGCTTACGCCAGTGAATATGATAGCGCCTACATTTCTAACACCTTCAAACAGTGTTCAACTTTGGCTTTGCTACCGACATGCCAACATTTTGTTGTCATAATGAACTGAGATTTCCTTCATCTATGTAGAAATTTATTTATTGATAATGTACTAACTGGATGCAATACTGTAGTAAAAATGCTGAGAATTCCATTCTGTATAACAAGTACTGCTTGGAATAAAGCAAATTATTATTATTACTATTCAGCTAAGTTGAAAGTTCAAGTCTTGGGGAAGGGAGGGTTACCTTTTGCTCGTTCACAACAACACTAAATCTGTTACACTTTAAAACTATTCTCCTCTCGATTATGTTCAAGGCTTCTCTGTGTTGTTGGTTTATTCAAATTAATTAACTACAAGCATTCAGTGATCAATTTGAAATAATATTCAGTTGTATCACAAATTTATGCTGAGATATTTCTGCTTAACTATGGATATGAACCAGGTTCACCTTACTCGACAATTGTGTTTGGTTCGAAAAAAATTTCAATTAGTGTCTTCCAATGAGTTCATTGAGAAGTAGAAATGGGTGAAGAATGCAATTTTTTCTAGATAAACATAAGTAGCATTATTTATTCAGTCAATATTTATTTTTATTGTGATCACTTTTAGGCTTGTTGCTATGTCATGAAAAAAATTTCGGTAAAAATGTGATGAATACTCAAATTGTAATTAACTAGGGTGGAAGGCGGTTGGGGTTGGTGGGTGGGTGACGTTTGTACAGATTAGTAAGACGTTGGTAGTAATGACCCCTGTCCAAAAAATAGTTTTCAATGCTATTGAGTGCATGAGTGAATTCAAAATAAGTCTATTGAAGTTACGTAATCAGTTGAAAAGTTTAATAGGTCAATTTTGACTATTTCACTTATTGCGTAACCGCAGTACACTTCTTTCTTATTCGGCTTGCCTTATACACCACTGACTAACATTGACAACTATTTTCAGACAAGTCATGACTACCAACGTCTTTCTAATCTTCACCACCACCCTCCACCCTAGTTTATTACAATTTGAGTATTCATCACATTTCTCAAAATATTTTCATGACCTTAGCAACAAGCCTAATTAGTTTTTTATTCTTTTTTTGACGAGTCTAGTGTACACAAACACCGCTGAGTGAATGAATTCGCCTAAATGAAACTAATCACTGTTTTCATGTCCTAAATAGAATCAGAACCTAGCTATTTTTGATGTTTAGATTTCAACTATGCAGTTACATAA